GCAAGAGTAGAAAAAAATAATAATAACAAAAATCATATGTACACTCACCTGCCAAATCTAAATGCAAACTCTGGTAACTCATTAGTAGTTTACAAAATTATATAATTATATATCTTGATTAAAATAAAAAACAAACTTGGCTTTTTTGTTGTTATTTAATCCTTTCCTTCTGTGAATACCTGCATCTATTAAATATCCATGATTATTATTATGATTATTCAATACATTTGATGTTGTCATTGATATAACAAACAATTGCATCATCCAAGTAATAAATAATACCAAGCAAGACCATGCAGAGATGAAATTTTTTAAGGAACCCGATTTTTTAAACAATAATGTGTGCATCTACCCCAAATCCACAAAAAATAAATGAATAAATAATTGGAGGATCAAAAAAAAATTTTCTCTTAATTCCAATTTATATAGTTCCTTAAAAAACCATGGATAATAAATCTGATGATGATTACAAGTGTCAGATTTAATCAAAATTTCCTATCACAAACATGCAAGACGGTGCAATTAAGCACAATCAGCACCATGGAACTTTTCCCACAGGTGAAGTAGTCTAGAACATGTTGGAAGGCTTTTATAAGGTGGACAAAAAATTTCCCTAATATTTTCCTCAGAGCAGGCTTGGCTGTTACCATACAGCATTGATTGTTGACAAGAGTTGGCATCTGTGGAATGATTGCTGCTCCACTAGAGTAAAGTTGGTGTCTGCAACTGGTATGAAATTCTGCAACTGAGGTGGGAGATTGCAATCTGGGTTGCTGTCATGTCAGCAGCCTTTTCTGGTCAGATGGTATGAGGAAAAGATTAGTGAAAAGAGTCCTTGACGATGATGCAATCTCGATAAATTCCAGGCCTTACCCCCCCCCCCCCCTGACAATTTAGTTGCATCATTATATCATTGGGGGCCTTGCAGTCAGATTAGCCTTGTGTACATGAGGAATGTGAAAGAATGACTGTAATGTGCTCAACGTAGCGTGTGTGCTTTGACAATCTGTGAAGTGTACAATTATGAAAATGTCGCATATTGAATCATTTCTTTTCCAACAGTGTGCTGCCTTGGCATTTTAATGTTAATATTAATATTATTACGGAAAGCAAAAATACCAGCCATTTACTATCGATGAGAATCTTATAATTACCCTGCAAGATCTGCTCCGTGTTTTGATCCAAATGACAATATTAATACAAATCAAAAAAATTGTGTACCTCTCGCCATCAATAAACAACATGTCTTCTTTAGAACCAACCATGCCAAATGACAACGTTCACGTTTTCTCATCTTGTAAAAGATAAATTGTTTTTCACAAAAAAAAAAATAAAAAAAAAAATCAATAAGGGCTTCTTTGTACAACATCAAGTGCCAATAATAATAAACACATCTTTTTTTTCCTTTAAAATAAATATTAATAAAAATAAAATACCACAAAGTCGGGACACAAATAAGAGAAGAAAATTAAAAAAAGATATAAATAAAAAAAGCGAGTAAGTATTTATCATTAAATGGTGGTGGTTGTCGCCGCCACTTGTCGTCGCCCTAGTTATTATTTAAGAAATAGTCTAGTTTACTAAGATTTCAACTTTTATCAGACCATCATCATCATCATCATCATCATCATCCTCATCCTCGTAAGTATTGTCAGAGTGTTTTTTTAAGGTGGTGGTCGCGTGCAACTGCTGTCACCTTATATATATATATATAACTTTGTTTTTTTTAATTTACTCAGTTCTTCAGAATCGACTCATGCGATTGGGTAAGTATCGTCAAGAGAGTTTTTTTGAAAAAGAGTGGTTACATGCAATTCGACATTCTGGTTTATTAATATAAATGGGGAAACAGAATCTAATCACGAAATAAATATTTTACAGGATTTATGAGGAACATAAAAGAATAGAGAAGGTATTGTAAAATGATTATTTTTGAACAGCACTTTACACTATGGTGATTTTTGATGTTGTTCAGTTGCTTGAATGCGAAAGATTTCTTCTAAACATGGTACCGGGCTTTATGCTGGCTTTTGTAATTGTTTTATTCGGGGTTACACCATAATTGACATTTGGCAGCGGTCAAACAATTATTCGGCCAATTTTAATTGTCAAAATTGGACTGTGAAATTCATCATGCAACCAACTGCAACTAGATTTTTATATAACATCTCTTATCTTTAAGTACTAGTACTGAAATCAAAAAAGTGGTTGCAAAAACGGTTTCAAAGGTAATTGTAACCATTTTTTATATGATGTAGCTAAAGATGGAGACTATAGCTGACAGTGAAATTAGTGAGTTTTGAAACTGAGTGAAAGTCGAGGCTAGTTTTGATTTTGAACTTTCAATTTTTGTTTCCTCTCCAAAATAGTTTTGCAGTCAGTTACGTGTATAATGGGAAGTGTAATTGGTTGCAATACGATTTTTAGATGTCGCAATTGCCACCATAATTCAATTTTCATATTAATATGTTGCAATAATTACGGTGCTATCTTTAGATGCAACTATGTTTGCTACCACCATTGTTGTAGAACTTTGAAGATAAGAGATGTTATATAAAAATCTGCAATTAGTTGCAGCTCAAGAATATCAATGACCCTATCAAGACCATTTCATTAACATTAGTCCTAGGATTGGTCAGTGTAGAAATTTGACTATGCAATCTATACAAAGCTTTGATTGCACAGTTTGAAATTTCAACACTGATTAATTCTTAGCTATGATTTATATTATCTATTAAAAAAAGTCATTTTTGTTTTGTAAACTAATATATATAAACTAATATTATTCTATAGCAAAAGAGGGAAAGGGAGGAAGATTCATAAAAGCAAACCAAAAAGAAATATATAAAAACTGGGAGGTCAAATAGTTTTTATATTGAAACTAAAGGTAATTAATTGTCTTTCTTAAGATAAAATAATTTTTTAAAACAAATATGATATTATAACTAGTTTTTTTTATAGATTATATTAAAGAAGGCCTCCAGAAAAAAACAAAGGGGTTGCTAATCCAAGAACTTGAGAAAGACATATCGCCAAGTGATAGATCTGGATATATATATATGTCTTTCAAGGTTATTTTTGGTCATTTTGTCTGCTTTTTTTTGTTATATTTCAATGACTTTTAACAATTGATATATTAATATAGTTAAAAAAAAGGGGAAGAAGAAAAAAATATATTATAAGATAGGAAGAACAAAAAATGTTGATAAGAGATTGGAGCAGTGGGAAAGACAATGTGGCTATCAAATCAAACTTGTCACAACCAAGGTGTGTAAGTATATGCACCATGCTGAAAGGCTAATTCACTTGGAACTAGAAAGCTCCAAAGTTGAATTAGCCCGATGCACAGGTTGTGACAAGGTTCATAATGAATGGTTTGATGCCACAAAAAAGGAGATAATCAATGTGGTTGAAAATTGGATAAATTATATGGAAAATGTATATGGGGAGGCAAAATTTTTTTAATATTAATATTAATATAGAAATAGAATTGAGTATTAAAAGCAGGTTCATTTTCAATTAACTTAGTATTAATTTGGTATCTGAAAGGGAAAATCTATTAAAGTATTAATCACCTATATATATGAAAAAAATTTCACTAATAAGTTTTATAGTTTATGACCTTAACTCCAAATTTATTGTTAGAATTAAATTAATGACTAGTTATACTATAAAAAATAACTATGAGAAAAATTTATTAATACAAAAAGCTTTTAAATCTTTTCTCCAAATAAGAGGAAACTCTTTAACAAAATATCCTTCACAATTTTTTTCTAAAGCTGTTTCAACAGCTTACATGAGTCGTTTTTTTTATCAGGGTATATATGGGGCATGGACAATAGAAACGCACCCAACGTCCAAAATCATGATTTTGAGATAATTGAAAAAAAAGATCTGCATTTCAAGTAATTACCTATTGTTTTTAAAAACTTTAACAGAAAATATCTCAAAATTTTATTAAGTAATGTGGGTATTGTTCTTAAGCTAAAATTGTTCCTTGCGACGAGTTACATATATATATGGCATCAACTCAAAATCATGATTTTTGACGTTTGCCCCCTTTCTATTGTCCATGCCCCATATAGATGCCGAAATTTCAAATAACATAGTAAAGTTACATAACTTTAAACCATTATAACTTTTTTTTTTTACTAAATAACTCAAAAAAAACTTTCTATTACATTATTTTTCATGTCTAGAAGATTGCAAAAATAGAAAGTTTTTGGTAAAATAGCCCGTATTTAGTAAAGTATCAGCATTTAAAGATTGTCAACATTTTGTGATGTCTTTAGATGATCGGCACTATATCATTTATTTTGAAAACATAAGGTGCAATTTTTTCACCTTGTTCTTTCTTCAAAATACTTCTGATTGTACTATAATTCTTGGGTTCCATAGTAGATCTGATATAAATGAATTTCATATTAACTATTTTTATGTAGAGGTAATTCTATATATCACTCAAGATAGAAAATGAATATTATAAAACTGTTAATTATAATCACATTGCAAATGGCTAAATTTTGATCCCTGAAATTCTTGGTAATACCAATATTCACTTTGTCTGGTTTTGTTGCAGCATGCCCCATATTATATATTGGGTAGGCATACATATTATTTAAATTCCAAATCTGGAAAGATCCCTTACTGCAAAATTTCTTTTATATGTTTATTCCTATGTAAATGTGAGTAAGCTTTTTTATCTTTATCCTAAAAAATTTATACAGAAAAAAACTACCCAATTGATTATCATCAACCGGATGATAATATGCTTCCTGTGATACTGATCAACAAATGTATACTATATTGGGAGATGCCATCAGTGTTGGTTAAGTTTCCAGTCCAGGAAAAAAGTAGCTTTGACAGTTTGAGCTTCTCAATATTTTTATAAGAATGAACATGAAAAAATTATAAAATCAACTATTTTAATTAAATAATTTAAAAATAATTTCGTCCAATTTCAGCTATTAATAAAAAATAATTTGGGCCTATATTTGTGATCAGTGGGGTGCATTTGCAACATTTTTATAGGCCCATTTTGTACCACTAGTTGCACAGTTTAGTCTAACACTATATTCACTATTGTCAACAATAAATGATGGTTTAATGATTTGGATGAAGCAACTTGAAACAATGTTTGTCCTTGGACATTTTTTTGGAGAAACTACAGGAATGCCATAAGATCTGTTATATATACATAAAAAGTTGAGACAAACTTAATAATTACAATCTGTGATTTCACTATAATTTATATTTTTTGCAAACTGACTTACATATTGTTAAATAATACAGCTGCTGCTTGACCAACCTTTGATTCTGTCAATGATTTTTTCCCTTGAGATGATCTGCACATAAATTATTATCATAGTTTATTTCACTATTTTTTATTATAAGCATATATATATATCTTTTTTTTTAAGAAATAAAAAGTTGTATATATCTGCTCTTTCACTAAAGAAATGTATAAAAATGTAGGAAAAGATACACACCTATTAGTGATATTTAAAGGTATTAGGACCACACTCCATGAAAATGCATAAAAGGTACAAATTACATACAGAGCATATAACATTAATTCTTCCAAAATTTTCTTATTAATATGGATCTTTATGTTGGCTTTTATTTGACTAATGTATGTTTATTTTTAGTGTATTAGTGAAAATTTATTATTATTTAAACTTTTATGGAATTCTTATTAATAGTTTCCCACTTACTACAGTTCACTCTCTCTATAACAAATCTTCTATCCCTATATGTGATTTTGTGTTTACTAAGATTATAAGGAGAAATTAATTATTATTATAAAAAAGTGAAGTTTGTTATAGAGAGTGTGAACTGTATATACAAATATGCGTATTTTATTCCTTCAATAATGGAAAAGTGTTATATTAACATAAAGCTTTATTATTATGTTGTAAGATCACAAATTTTAAATAAATAAATTCGAATACATATATTTGTACATCATGCAAAAAAGAAAAATACATGAAAAAAACTTTACCGAATTTTAATGTGTAAATGTGATAATTGCTTATAAAACTTTCCACGATTTTTAAATAAAAATTTGATCAACATATTTATATGTTTGTACTTGTATCTAACGCCCCAACCTGATATATATGAGTTTATTTTTATTTAGGGCACTTCTATATATCACTTAAAGAATAACTAAATTTTTGATCCCTGAAATCCTTGGTAGTGCGAATGTTCACTTTGTCTGGTTTTGTTGTATGCCCCATATAACAATTTGTTTAAACAAAATAATATTAATACTATCTTGGAGTTGTTATTACTTTAATGTATTTTGACCAAAATATGTAAAGGCTTTAATTTTTTTTCTAAATATCATTATCATCACCACCGGTTCAACTATAACATAATTCAGGGTTGACAATAGACTGGGTCAATTGGGGATTCATTGCCATTAACAAAATACTAAATATGGTTAAAATGCTACGACAATGATCCCAATGGACCATGCATGACCAACATAATTAAGATTTGGTAATTTGATTTTATTTATAAAACAGCTATATAAAGAATCCAATGTAACGAGTGACAAAGTATCGAGCACATATTCTCGAATGTCAGTGTATAATTCAATTACCGGGTGTAACGGCATTAGTAATTTGTCTCTAAATTTGTACAAATCTGCATTAGTTACACACCGAAATTTATACACTGAATGTCACTACCACCCATCACATATAAAATTTATATATACAAATTACTGTTACAATATTAAATAAATAAGAAGAAAAAATGATTTGTTTTAAAACAAAAAAATAAAATGATAACAAGTGTCCGATTTCACTTATATATATTTTATTGTGGATAAGGACATTTTAGACCATTGACTGGAACAGATACTGCTGGTTTAAATACCCAATCAATTCCCCATACAAATAATTTGACATCAACGCGAAGATTTAGTGTAGTTTGTTGTATACCAGGTTGCTTAGTACAAGCAGAAAGAAAATCTTGAAGCACAGGATCACTTGCATCATTTGGTACATACTTTACATTTAATGGGAATCCAACTTCACTAGTTTGTTTTGGTGGAAGTGTATAATCTGTAATATTTCCAGTAGCAATTGGTTTATTAAATGATGATATAGTAGTAGAATCAAATACCTGGAAGAATGAAAAAGTAATAATCAACAATAAAATTAATGATTATAAATTATAACTAATAATTATAATTATAAAATAATAAATAACTTACTTGTACATCTATTCTGTTAAATCTGAATGGAATCCAATTTTCATTATTATCAATTTGAGTTCGCATAACAAAATCCATATCAATTAATGGAGGATTTTGAGAGATTGATGGTGTACCAACTGGGGTTGCACCCAATATTTTGACAATTGGTATACGAGGCCATACAAAATATAATGCCACAGCCAACAAAATCAAAATAACAAATGTAATAATTACACAATGTACTCCTGAACAACAACAACAACGCTTCCTTTGTTTTTTAAATGTATTATCAATCATCATTGATTGATTAAGATTTTCTTTTTCAGAATCAATTTTACTGCCATTATGGAAATCATATGATGAGTTCATGTTATTATTATCTGGTAAAGTCATTGAGTTATGTCTTGTTGCTTCCTGATCATTGTAATATGATTGGTTTTGTGATGGATAATGATAATTATTATAATCATTATAAACATCCTGTTGCTGATTATTATTGCTGTTATTGCTGTTGTAACTGTCATAGTTATTTTGATTGTCCAAATTGTAAGTTCTATCAATTAAAGGCTGTTGTTGGTTGTTGTTGTTGTTGTTGTTGTTGTTGTTGTTGTTGTTGTTGTTGTTGTTGTTGTTGTTGTTGAATACAAGTGAATTTGCTTGATGCGAAGATGGATAAATCATCAGATTATTTCCAAGAAATCTTGAGTCACCATATACTCCATTATTTGCTAATTCATTCGTGGCATGATTTTTTGAGTTATTTCTTGATAATGGGTCACTAGTACTTGGTTGAGAATATATTGATACTGATCTTACTGAGACATTATCATCATTATTCACCACTGATCTTAATTGTGGTGTACCAATTGCTGTAGCTGTTGACACACTTGAATCAGATATTGAACCTAAATTATAAATAATTCGTGAATTAGGAAATAATAATAATATTATTATCATTGACTATAGTGATATTCTCAATATTCTTATTCCTTCCTATTATTATTATATTATTAAATAATTTTTTAGTTTAATCTCTTGCATTTATCACTACTAATATCTATATACTACATATTTAATAAACAAAAAAAAAATTTACCTCTTTTCAGTGAACCGTGATAGGGCTGATGTTGATTGCTTTGCACATAATCACTCTCACTCAATTCTTGTATTCTTGGATTAGTGGCAGCATGCTCTCCCATCTCGTAAGGTTTAATACCATAGTTATTACTTGAGTTATTATTAATATAATTAAAATTATTGCTGTTATTATTATACTCGGGTCTGTATTGATTGCTATACTGATTGCCGTGTTGATTGTTGCTGTTGTTGCTTTTATAAGACATTGTTTTTTGTTAAATATTTATTTATTTAATAAAAAAAAATTTTTTTTTATAAGAAATAAATATAATATATATTTTTTTGAAGAAAAAAATTTTTTTGAATAAATAGTGAATCAAAATTCAGAATAGAAATTTTTTTTATGGAAAAGAAAGTATTATACAAAAGAATGAATAATAAGATGATGGGGTGATAGGTCTTGGCGGCGTCAATGAAAAAGTTTTGGTTTGTGAAATTAATTATAGTTTTTGCGAGTTTAAATATAGTTTGTGTGATAAATTTTTATTAGTAGTGTTTGTATGTTTGTGTAATACTGAAACAAGGAATAAAACTTATTATTTAACCACCTATGGATTTTTCTATTTATATTTTATTTTTGCAAATCAAATGTATAATAATAAAACAAATATAATAATAAATAAAACTTTTATTATTTTTTTTACTTATTATTTGTCGATTAATTTCTCCTCCTTGACTGGTTTAAAAATCAAGCATTTTAATTGGTTGGTTATTTGGGAAATATGATGTGTATTTTTTGAGGTAATGGGGTCAATTAGTTTAGTTTTTTGGTACGTATGCTTAACATCACCATTATTGGCTAGTTGACTAATTTTTCAAAGGAGTAGGTAGAAAATAATGACAACAACACCTTTCAACGGTGCTATTTGTGAAAACTTGTAGATTTTCCTTGGAAATAATTGGTGGTGGTAGTGGTCGTCTGTGTCCCTTTAACGAACAACTTGATATGATGAAGGAGAAAACTAAACAATTAATCACAATGGTGGATTGATGTTTTTAGAAATAATAAATAATAAAATGCAAGCAAGCAGAGAGAAAAAAAAATATGCAGATGTGATGTGTCCATGTGGTGTGTGTGGCTATATCATATTTTAATAAATCACTCCTTCCTTTCTCTATTCTACACCATATAAAGTTACACGGCTTCGCAGCATCTCTCTCTCCCTCATCAATTATTTACTATTATATACAATTTCATGTGACAAGGGTAATAAACTGTTTTTTGGGAACTATATAGATTGTTGTTCTTGTTGTTTAAACTTCTCTCTTCTCCAAATAATGATCGACTTGTATAACTTCGTCATCATCATCAACGTCATAGCCTTGTTTTAGAATAAATTTTTAATTTTCTATAATGAGTAACCCAATGTATGTAAATTTCTGTTTATTGTTATATAAATTAATTTTTTTCATTTAAGTTCCAAAGAAGAATCAAGTGCCACAAGAAATAGGCAAATCTGTTAATCGAGAGGATACAAATAGTTTAGTTGTAATAAAAAAAAAATCAATAATATTTTTTAACTCTTCCAAAAAAAATTTTTTTTTTTTGAATTTTATTTTATTTTTTTATTGTTTTATATAAATAAATAAATAAATAAAAATTCAAAAAAAATTTTGTTGGGTGATAGATTCACCATATACTCTCACTCACTCACTCTAATACTTTTTTAATCCACAATCTTTTTTTTATTTCCACAATCATATATCTTTTATATACTTTATTTTTTTTTGTTTTTTGTTATTAAAAAAAAATTTTTATAATTATATGTCTTACAACAACAACAACATTGGCAATCAAACTAACACAAGGCTTGGCAATTCAATTCCCAATCCAGATGATCTGTCTCGTAGACTAATGTTACAAGCAGCAGTTGATAATAATGAATTCGAAGATGAACTTTCAAATTCACGATCTGTCCTAAATAGTGTTGCTGCTGGAAATTTCTCCTCCTTTTGGGGATCTATTTCTCCAACATCTGGCTCTAGATCCCCTGTACCTTTACAATGTTGTTGTGGCAGAGAAGATTGTCAGAACTTTATTGCCTTTCTTAAAACTACTCAGTCAATGGAAGAAAGATTAGGATTAGCGTCTGGTAGGTTCTAAAAATAATTATCAATTAATGAGAAATTAAAAAAAAAATCTTATTTTATATTTATGATTTTAGAGGTTGGGCAGGCATTAGTACTTAAACAAAAAAATATCGAAGAATCTCATCAAGAATTGTCACAACAGGTTTTTTTATTACAACTTACATACAACTTATATTAACGTACATATTACATATCATATGGATTTATACTTGTATATCATATATTAATTTATTGTTTTTTCCTTCCTTCCTTTTTTTTTTTTTTTTCTATTCTCTATTTCTCTATATATTAGTATACATTTTCACAACAAAAAATTCAAAATCTTGAAGATATAATAAGAGAGTTTGAAAGTACGGAGCGATCGATAATCATAGAAAGAGACGATGCATTGCGCCAGAAAAATATTTTAGAAAAAGTAATTTAATGTTATAAAAACATTTATTTATAATGTATATTGTAATTATGATGAGATCTTTTTGAATGAAATTTTTTAACCTAATTAAAAATATATACTTCATATTATTATCTACTGTACTTGTTTTAGAAAAATCATTCACTTACCATAGCTTTAGATACAAGTGAAGATACTGTGCACTCCTTAAAAACGGAAATCGAAAAACGCGATAATGATATTAAAAGATTATTAGCAAACAATATCAAAGGTGAAAGAAGCGAAGAAAGAGAAGAAATGTTAAGGAGACAATTAGAGGATTTGAATCAAGAACTTTTAGTTACTAGGAAATCAGAAATAGTAACTGAAAATAAAATAAAAAAATTACAAGGAAGATTTGGTAATTACAATTAAACACATATCGTATATTTATATGTTTATTAATTAAATTAATATATTTGATGCATAGATTCATTATTGGAAGCACATGAAAAATTGAAAAAAGATCAAGAGGATATGAAGAAATCAAAAGGAAAATTAGAAGCTGTTGCAATACTACGTGAATCAAAGGAAAGAACAAAACAATACCAACAAGTAATAGTTTGTTATTTTTTTGTAAAGATGATTTATTTAATTTAAAGTTTTAATTTAATAATAATAATGAAAATAATAATTTACTATTGATTGTAATAAATTATAACATGTAGTCTGTGGATTCTAACAATGAAGCAAATTCTAACCTCATATCTCTAATTAAAGAATTGTCATCAGCCAATAATAAACTAAAATCAGAAGTAATTGAGTATCGTGAAATTCTAACAGAATCCAGAAATGAGGTTACCTCTTTACAAAATCGTATTGAGGAAATGGAAACAGCTAGTGCAGCAGGATTTTTATATCCTGGTAGCTATGCAACCACTGCCTCAATTGCGTCGCCTCTAAACAAAAACTTTCCTCAGAACATGGATGGTGATTTATATTCGGAAGATATTTTAAGCCCAATTCATTCATCCATTCCTCAGAATATCATTACCTCATTCGGTGGTCCTTCTTCATACAACGCATCAAACAACATAAATTCAACAACTGATCCACCAATAAATTCTCCAGCCGACTCTTTACTATCTCCTATGCTCTCCTCTTCAAATCCATTACACTATCATCATCATTATCATCACTATCATCATTGTGGTAACGAAAATCCAGAGATTGTAAAAGGGGGCAGTGTCTTTGGAGAATTGGAGAAATATTTGATGAAACAGAAAACGACATCAAAGAGTGGTGGCAGTGCTAGTGGTGGCAGTGTTGGTGGTAGTGTTAGTGGCGGTCATAGTAGTAGGCGAGTTAGTCTGAGAAAAGGTAAAAATGTTATTTTAGAAATTGAAGACGAGGATAATGAGTGTCTTACTGATAATCGTTCAGATATAAGCGAAAGTAAACGTAAGAGATTTGAAGATTATAATTCTGATTCACTACTTACTTGTACTGACAATGAATCAGACCAAGATACGCTCGAGGTTAGTACTGTGTATATATATATATAATTTAAAATTTTATTACATTAATTTTCATTTTTATTTTAAATATATCTAATTTAATAATAATCATTAAAATTAATCTTTAGGGTGTAAATAATACTGCGAGAAGGAAATTCAAACCAAAATCAAAAGCGACCTCATCTAAATCATTAAGGGGTAGTATTTCCAAGAAAAAAGACCACTCTCAGAAATCAAGAGTTTCACTATTATCAGCCGGTCTCATGAAATCGACCGAGAGTAATTATTCTGACTCAACCATGCAACCTGACAATGAAAATTCCAAAACGCTAACCAAAAAATCATCGTCGCCATTGTTAGGTAGTAAAGGTTCATCAACACCACTACGTCGATCCCCCTCTGCTCCGTCAAAATCAAATGCTCAAAGACGTGGTGGTGCCGGAAATGCACCCAAAGGTAACAGTATTAACAGCGGTGGTAATGCTACTGGCTCTACCAGCCTACAGCATAAACCAGCACAATCTTCTCCATTAGCATTGCGTAATAAAAATGCACAAAGATCCAACAACAGCAACAGTAGAAACAATAACGCTTCACAATCATCGAATTCTACAATCCTCAAATCTAAACAGATGAAATCAAAAACTCCTTTACCAACATTCAAAAAATCTAAATTTGCAACATTGGGACCAAAAGAACGTAAACTAATGTTGGAAGCATGGCGTGCAGGTGTTGCAAATGAACAATTGTATGAAATGTATGATAATAGTCATGATAATGATAACGACGATGATAAGATTAGTAATAGTAATAAAAGTAACAGCAATAAGAGTAATAGTAGAATGCGTTCCGACTCGATTGATAATGGTAGCGATGAAACTGTTAAAGGAAAAAGTCGAAGAAATCATTCCAATTCACCTATTAAAGAATTTGTTGAAGAGGTGTTATTGGATGAAGCAAATCTTCCAGCTGCTGAAGCTGCTGCAGTTGCCAACGAGGTGGAAAATAGCTTGTCTGTTAATGTTAGAGCGCCACTTTCATCTGCAGCTTTACATCCTTCAAGTCATCATCATCACGATTCAACAATGAGCGGTCATGATCAAGAATCAAATCTTTGTACTAATAATAATAACAACAACACTTCATCATCTCAACAACAAAAAGAAAATCCTTATCAATCACTGTTCAATAGTTGTAATCATATAATGGAAAGATTTAAAGGCACTGATATTTTGGCATTAAGTAAACAATTGAAAAAAGCTTTTGATATTTTGGAATTGACAAGTTTAAGTAATAATTTGATTGAGAATATTTTAGCTGATGTTGAAACTTTAAGTGACCGATTTAGGTGGGTGGGAGATCTTCGTGATAATGAAGAATTTAAAATAAACATTAATAATCATGATAATAGTAATAGTAATATTAATGATAAAGAAATAAATAATGATGGTGACAATGATGAAAAGATTAAAAAAACTCCCACAGAATTATACGCATTTTCTCCTGAAGACTTTTTACCATTGGCACATTTGTTCCAAGATCTTTTAACAGAGATAGGTGGTCTACGTAAAACATTTAATGATCTACAGCTTACATATGTACGGAAAGTTGAAGATACTCGTCGTAAAGCTGAGGAAGAGTTTGATAGAAGTACAGGGTATGATGATGAAATAATTGAGAGACGACAAAGTAACAGGATGAACCAGAATAATGAAGTTGGGGGTGTGTTCGGTACATTTAGTCGAGTGTTTGACATACAATCACAGTTACGTTATCATAGTAGAAGAATGTCGGTCGATTATTTACATGAACGTGATGCATCAGTTGGTAGTATTGATACATTTGCTGAAGATTCCTATTTTGCAGATCGTAATTACGATCCATATTCAAATGTACAAAATACAGCCAGATCTACCACTAAACGAAGAGAGAGCAATGAGTCAACTGGTGGCGGAGGTAGGATTAATGTGTGGTCTTTTTTTGGAAGAGGTGGTGGTGGGGACAACAACAATCGCAAGAACAAAAACAACGACTGCGACGACAACAGCAGCAAACACGAGAAGAGGAAGGAAGTAGCAGTAGTGGACACAACATCAGCAGTGGCAGTAGTGAACAAAATGGAAACCGGAAGTGGGAAAATGAAATACAAGAATATAACTGATGAAACGACAACATTTTTATCACAAAATTCTGCACATAAATATATTAATATTATAGATAATGGTAAAACAATTCCACAAAGAAATCAACGTAGAAATTTTTCGGAGAGAAGTCTTTTAGCTGATATTTCTACAACACCTATAAGGTCACCTTCCTCAACTACATTACAATATGTAGGAACTAATAATGTAGCTCCCGCAGCTCAGTCACAACGAATCCTACCACCACCACCACCATTGACAACAGTTACAAAGAAGCAATTACGTACAAATAATAGTAATGTTGGTAATTTGGAAGATCGTTTGAGAAAACATTTAGAAGCACCAATACTAGATGATAGCGTAAGAATTGATAGAGAAGTTATTAGTAATTATAATGACAATAATAATAATAGGAATAGTAAACAATGGAATATTGCTTCGATTTTCGATAACTTTTTTTAATGTAAAAATTAATCCTTTTCATTTATTCATCATCATTTCATTCATCATATCATCATATCATCAATTCATTCATCATCATTAATTCATCATTCTTTTCCTCAATAATATATTTGCAAAAATTATCATTTCATTGTAATGTATGCTTTATATTTATTTTATTATTTTTATTATTTTATTTTTTATTTTAATATGAATTTTAATTTATTATATATTATATGTAAATTTATAATCTTATGTATAAATATGATTTATTTATATCGGCATATTATCAATTATATATATATGAAATTTATAGGATACATTTTATATAAAAAATATAAATATATAGCTTTATGTTTAATTTTTTTTTTTTTGTTTAGAATCCAAAATAATTGGTTTTTTTTGTATCATAGATATTAAACCCCTTCCCATCCATATATATAAAATAAAATTTATGTAACAAATGCTTTATTATTTTTCTTACACCTTCTATTCGTAAAATTTTTTTAAATCCTTAATATTAACATTTTTCTGTAACTCGAGAATCAACTTTAACCTTGACCGGTTGCGATAACTATTTTCGATTTTAGGATAACAATTAACTTCAACTCCAAAGAATAAAAAAATAATACAAATAAGCTTCTTTCTTATTAATTATATATTAAACAAACAAGTATATATATATAATCATTATTTGATTTTAATTTTATTGGTTTTTAAAAATGTTCGCTTCATTTTGGAGATCTTTTCATAATGTCTTTTGAAGAGGATAGAGTATTGTTGCCAAGTAATGTAATAAAGGATCTTGAAATATAATGCTTACTATTTTCAACAGATGACATCAAGTCATACCCAAGTACAAGCCATACCTACAATAAAGTGTCCAAGACTGGGTCGATCAATACGATTTATCTGGATCTCACTCGCAGCATAACAATAATCATAATTGGTAAATCCGCGATTGGTCTGTTACTTTTTTTTTTAAAAAAAAAAATCAATGTCAACATTATTCATCAGAAAAAATATTTTCGGCACTTTGCATATTTTTTGACATACTACTCTTTCAATAAAACTGAATTCAATTTTGTTTGTTTGGCTGTCACTGTGTCACCAGCTTTGCTGAATGTCATTTTACTTGTAGTAGAGGCTAGTATCGTTAAACCAGTTAAAATATTTTTTTTAATTCTTTTGAATAACCGGTTAACCATGTTACAAATATCGTTGTTCATCTAACTAGAATCTTTACATATAGAAATAAATAGAAATACCAAAACACAATCTATATGTAATGATGAAATAAATGTAGGTAATGCTTGCTGCCTCTGGGTCTCCGGCTGCTCTAGAGAGTACCAATCACTTTTCTTTTGGGCAGGAGTAAAGCTCCGAAACGGGCCGGGCTAACCCGAAAGCTTTTTGGACTGTACCAATTATACTTGAGATCAAAATTATTAAATTGCAATTAAAAATCCTAAAAATTTGCACCACATACAGTGCAGATCATCTATACTCAAAAGTAAGGGTGCAAACATATTGCCGAGTTGTAACCTATTGTTATGACATCTATATGACGTGAAAAGGTTGTAACCCTTG